AGCCAGTCAACTCAATATTATAGAGGCGTGCATATATGGAATGATGCTACCGCGCGACAAATTAAAGAAAATTCATTTTTCAACATTCTAAATTAGAATAGCTAAAAAATTGCTTCTCTAAAATATCAGAACGGTGGTGATCGCAGCAGGTAACTCAATTGCTGACATGTATACTATCGTAATCCCATACCCATAAATAGAGATTTCGATTTACACGGTCAACGAATGCTTAAATCAAATCTATACTCGCAATATCAAGCCGTGTACGAGAATATACAGACTAATTTTGCCATTTGTCGTATCACTGATTTGTCATTATCTATTGGCATTGTATTTTGATTTTGTATTGTATCTCCGTGTATTCTTGTATTTAGTGTATTATTGTACTTTGTATTGTAAATGGTATTGTATTATTACACTCACTGCTATTGTTATTTCGAATTAATTCGAAATCTTTACTGTAGAACGTTATACATGTAATGCAGCTAGGCTATCAGTCTTTATACATATTTTTGCTAGTTTTAGGGGAGTGGCAGTCTCAGAGAATGAATCTCTCGAGACTATTCACGCACTCCCGGCTGCTCTCGAATTATTATTTCTACAACTTGATTGATTGAATGTATAAATGTAAATTGCTGATGAACAGGCCAAATAAAATAATTCTTAAAAAAACAAAAAACAAGTTGAACTTGTCACATCAATGGTCTTTGGAAGCTGAGCGAGTATAGTATTCATACACTGCAGTTTTCTATGGTTATCTAACAAACATCAGAACAGGCAGTGTTCGTGGGATGTAGCGCGCATGGCGTAAAATGTTGTTGTGTATCTTCAAGCTAAAGTAGGCGTCAATCTAATTATTAATAGCTTCAAGTAAAAAGGTAAAGTAGAGACGGAAGAGACAGTGCGTGTGAAATATCAGTCTCCGATCGCTAATAGTTTGTTGCTACGGTAACCACTACACTGACAGTGAGTCATTGTGTCACTGTTAGTGAATAGTGTGTCACTCAGCGTGAGAATTTGTTAATTCTGTAAGCGCTGTTATTTCTCATGGCGGTGGCTATCTAATAAGCTCAAAATCCCTATTTATCTACTATCTGGCTATCCCTACTCACTAGTAGTAGTAGTAGTAGTAGTACTAGTACTTAGTACTACTACTAGTACTAGTACTACTACTAGTACTAGTACTACTACTAGTACTACTACTACTAGTACTAGACCAATAAATTGTGCCCTAAAAAAGTTTATATTCTAATGTTATTTTAGGGCCCAATACCCTTCCATAGACAAAACCTGTGAATTCTGTCGTGCAAAATGCACGACAACCTTTTCACTATTTACAGCTGTGTTCCATAGAAAATCAAAGAAATACCTAAAGCCGTCGCTTTATTAACATCTTACCTACATTACAATACACTTGTCATGCAGTATTCTCCTCTTTAATCACGTTTATTTTATTAAAACATCACGACATAAAAATCACGCAAACTTAGCTACACACAAAACTGCCAATCTTGCATTTGAATTTTGAACCGCACCGGACAGCGTCACAGCGATGATTTCATTGGCCGGTGAGAAATGTCGTTGTGCGGTTCAATGCAAGATTGGCAGTTTTGTGTGTAGCGAAGTTTGCATGATTTTTATGTCGTGATGTTTTAATAAAATAAACGTGATTAAAGAGGAGAATACTGCATGACAAGTGTTTTGTAATGTAGGTAAGATGTTAATAAAGCGACGGCTTTAGGTATTTCTTTGATTTTCTATGTAACACGGCCGTAAATAGGGAAAAGGTTGTCGTGCATTTTGCACGACAGAATTCACAGGTTTTGTCTATGGAAGGGTATTGGGCCCTAAAATAACATCAGAATATAAACAATTTATTGGTCTATACTACTACTAGTACTACTAGTACTACTGCTACTAGTACTAGTAGTAAGTAGTACTAGTAGTAGTACTACTACTAGTACTAGTAGTAAGTAGTACTACTAGTACTACTGCTACTAGTACTAGTAGTAAGTAGTACTAGTAGTAGTACTACTACTAGTACTAGTAGTACCGGTACAGTACTACTGCTGCCAGGGTCTATGTCTCCCTGGGTACTGCCGGACCAGGGTTAGAGCTTTAAAAAAAACACTCGCCAAACTGGGCGAGTGAGTCAATAAGTTATCTCGCCCGAATAGAATCGATCTGTACTCGCCCAAATTTTAAAATAAAAAATTATTGTCAAACAATAGTGGAAAAACACAAAAAACACCATTGATTTAAACTACACATTTAATTCATTGATCACATTATAAGTAGGGTACCTCGGTACCCGTCACAACAAAGTTACAAATTTACAAAAATACAAAAGGGCCAATCGAGAGGCCCTTTTTTTCATCCAAGTCGCACAACCACTGAAAGTCCCTAAATGGTCTCCCGTTCTTGGCCAATGCATGGGCATTCCTGAACAAAATTTTGAGCTCAGAATGCTGCGTGTGAAGAAGATCGACCGCGACATTAGCAGGGGCTTTTTCCAGATTCTGTACAGCCTTTACAGGATCAGAAGCACATGCGTGTGCCTCAGACAGCTCATGGTATAGGCTATAGGATATTGATTCTCGCTTATAATTGTTACAGCCGTCAATAAAGGTGCTGCTTCGCTTAATCAGTCCTCGACTTTTTAGGGTGCCGATGTGCTCCACACACCAAGCACACTTCATCCCCTCTGTTGTGTTTTGTTCCTCGTACACTGTCCACAGAAGGCTGTGAGTTCAAACCCCGGCCGGGGCAGTGAATTTTCTCAAGGTGTAAAAACCTGGCTCTCAACATTGGAGACTGTGAATCTCCCGTGGCTCGGATGACCACGTAAAATGGCGGTCCCGTCTCCAGTAATACTAAGGCCAATGGGGATGTAAAAGAACCACTGAGGGCGCAAAAAAACTCTGGCTGTGAGCCTGTGACCACCCTCAGTGCCTTTCGGCTAAAAGGCTAAACTACCTGGCTTTACCCAAGCTAGGTCACACCCCATGGCTAGCTATAGCCCATTGCCTCGATGCCAAATTTGGATACTGCAACGTACTACAACAGAAACAGAAACCACGGTCTCCCAACTGTCCATTTTTCATGTAAACTACTAATGACATCTACCACGGCATGTACACAATGGATGTGGCGTGATAACATCGCTAGAACTGTTTTTCACCAATCCAATGTTTGGATAAAAAAATGTAAGGATCCATTATTTGATTAAAGCTTTAGGCAATTATTTTTACTCGCCAACACGGGCGAGTCAGTTTTAGCTTTGACTCGCCCGATATTATTTTCACTGGTATGTACCGGCAGTACCCAGGGAGACATAGACCCTATCAGCACTACTACTAGGCCTACTAGTTCAGTAACATGCTTCTAAACAGAGGAATTGCTCCGACCTGTGATTGGAGGATAAAAATAGATCCCACCCACTAATTAATTAGGCTAATCGCGCTTCAATAGACCCAAAATTCACAGAGATTAAGGCTAAGACATGTGTCTATAACAGCTAGAATTTATAGAAATGTAACTCAAATCGTTCGCTCGATATGATAGTTAGTACACGTTCCTACCGGTCATAGCATAATAGCGTATGCGGCGGGAGTGGGCGGGGTCTATTTTTATCCTCCAATCACAGGTCGGAGCAATTCCTCTGTTTAGACGCATGTGTTCAGTATGACAGTAGCTGCTCGACTTCAACTTGTAAGTTGTAACTCACTAACTGTAAGTTGTATGACTATGACTGAGATAATCTCAGGTTGTTCACAGTTCAGATTCTGCTAAGCAAAGGTTACTGCGAGTGTGATCTACAATACTGACACTGTGGCTGTAGGTCGTATATATGAATTATATCATGGCGTAGTGAACCTGCAAGTGAGAGAGTTATGTTTCCGATATGATCCGATATCCTATTCAGATGATCTTTGCTGTCACTTTTGCAGAAGATGTTCAGGAGTTGTTTGTGCCTAAATAACGTTGCAATATGTGTTGCAGAGTAAATTGTGATGGATTATGATGATGATGAGGAAGCACCCAGCTATTGGGAACAGGATGATGCCGATGATGCAGAAGCAACGTTGCCTGAACCAGAGGAGGTAGGTAATCATTAAACGTAATGGTGGTGTGACCTCGATTGCCACACTCAACAGGTTTGGACTTTTTATCCTACACCTTCACCACTTCAGTTTTAAAGATTATCGCTAGGGTTAGGGTGAGGGTTAAGGTTAGGGTTAGGGGTTAGGGTTAGGGTTTGATCGGCAATTTTTACGAAGTATTTTGAGTGGTGGTCCCTAGCGGTAATTTTTGAAACTAAAGTGGTGAAGGTGTAGGATAAAAAGTCCTTACCCACTCAACAACACCTGCATGGGTACATAAACCCTTGAGCCGTCTGTATATAAGTTCGAACATTCAGAGCATGCTCTTTTCCAGCAGGCATACTTATTTGGCTTATTCCTCGTCGTTCGATAAACGACCAAGAACCCCATTAACTAGCAAGTGGCAAAGAATTCTAGGCTGTATTTCTCAATGGCACTGGCGACACTTTACCACTAATATGAAAATTCCTGACAGGGGTAGAAATTAACTTTTGAACACGGGAGTCCAACGGACTCTCTACCCTCAAAAAGAGGTAGTCTGCAGCAAAATGACGGAGTCCGCAGTCTGAAGTTCAAAATTAAAGATATTAACAATAACGTATGTGCTTATTTTGAAGATTCATGCGGTGGCATGTCTGCCCAATTGCCTTTGGACAGCTGAAAAAATACGGTACTTCGGCGAGGCCGTGCTCTGTTCAGAACAAACTAGTTATAGTAAGGCAGAATTTTCAGGGAGTCACACTGACTCCTGCGTATGTCAAATCAGGGAGTCCGATAGTAAATCAGGGAGTATTTGACTCCGGACTCGCATTAATTTCACACCCTGCCTGATTTAGGTGTCTTACCTATGGGCATATGGTTGTAGTATTAGAGATGGCATGTCTTAGATTGTTCCACACAAAATATTATTATATGCATGTGTTCTATGAATATTTTTGTTATACATATAGCATACTTGATAACTATATCGACACTCTAAATTCACTTTTCTTTGCAGTCACCTGTTGAGTCGGACCACGAACCGGAAGAGGTTGATAATCAGTCTATTCAGGCAGAATGTTTGGAATTGTTTGGAAGCAAAGATTTTATCATGGAACCGGGTATATCACCATTTTTACAAAGGTACAAACACACACAACACATATCAGCACTGATCATCACCCATCATACAGACACGTGCGCACAGGCACGCACTCTCTCTTTCTCTCTCGCTATCTCTCTCTCTCTTTCTCTCTCTCTCTATCTCTCTCTCTCTCTCTCTCTCTCTCTCTCTCTCTCTCTCACGCACGCACGCACGCACTCTCTCTATCTCTTGCACACACAGACACGCACACATGCACGTACGCATGCACGTACGCATGCACGTACGCATTCACACACACACACACACACACACACACACACACACACACACACAGACACATGTGGACAAATGGATGGATGATCACACATACACCATTTTGTATCATCAAACTCGTCATTATTGGTATCAATGTCGTCGTCATCGATAAATGTTCATAACAATCTATCATAAAGCCTAAAAAAATACGTTTGTTTTCGCTAACCAGACTGAGTCCATTTTAAACCGCCGAATCGAAACATTTTATTGTAATCGGCTGCAAAAAAAAAAATTTTAATTAAAAAAATCCCAGCGTGATATCGATCGGTGAATTCATTGATTTGACTTTGAAGTCATTATATGGGCTGTTATAAGTATGAAACAAGTATTTGTATACAAGTATAAGTTAGAATACCAAAAAAAAAAGATAAAAAAACAGTTTTGCTTGCCTACCGTGTCCAATTTTTTTCAGCTTGTTAGCGGAAACAAACATCTTTTATTTTTTTGCCTAATCAGTTTTGGGTCTAGTTAACAATTTACTGCTTAGTGTTATGTAAGCATGCACTGTGTGCGCATTTTGCCATTATTACACACCTTGCCATAAATACACATTCTGTACATATTCATGAGCGTCACTGATTTATATTTTGATGGACTATAAAATCATATAGCACAGAGACACAGATTTACCAAAAGCGATATTCTGATCCCGTGATGAGAAGTATTTATACTGAAAGTAATTCCCTGCTTAGTTTGTAACATTTTTCATGTGATTGAAAAAAAAATTCAGGTACGTTTACCCTTGCCTCTCTGGAACATGCCTACCAAAAACTATCAGGCTAAGACCTCTATTCTGCTGCTTACCTGTTGGGTTGTCCTGGAGGCTGGTATGATTTTTTTGTCAAGCAACACGGAGCTTCTGACTGTTGATAGCATTGGTGTGTTGCTGTTGCAGGTACTTTCAGGCTGGAGGCGGGCCAGAGCCTGTCGTACAACTGCTGTCGGACAACTACAGCGCCATTGCACAGCTTGCAAATTTGTTGGCGGAGTGGCTTATCATGATAGGTACCTTAGCTGTTGCTGTTCTCTCTTGTTTCAAGTCCAGTCAGGTGCCAGGTCTCTAGATGAAAATAAACGAGCAGTTAAATTCAGTGTGTAGGCAATATAAATGTGTCTGCATTCACTACATATACATGCGTTTTATAAAATGAAGACATGTCTAGTTGAGACCACTGACACATACTATTGCACAGGTGTGAATATTTCGGAGGTGCAGAAAATTGTTGAGGATCACATGAAGAAAATGATCATACGGAACTTTGACCAAAAGAAAGCCGATTCTATTTTCACGGAGGAGGGACAGGTATGTCATTTGTTTCATGACTGTTCTGACCTACTGTCTACAATTATTTAAACGTTTTTCAGTTGCAAAGGTGAATGTATTTCTAGAGCATACATGATGAGTTTTTTTTTTTATAGACACCAACGTGGCTAACTGAAATGATTGAATATCCCGAATGGAGATCTCTGTTCTATCAATTAGCTGAAGTTTACCCTGACTGCCTGATGTTAAACTTCACTGTCAAGGTAAGATGTGGTATCTATTGTAAAAGTTATTTTATTAAATTAATTTATTTATATGCAAAAGTACCCCATAGCAGAGCATTTTCATTAGTAATGTTACTTGTTTTGCTTCCTGGTCACTAGTATATTTTATTGCTTCTAAACCCTTGGCCATATTCCAATTCTGTAATCTGTGGTAGCCTAAACCATCGGGTTGATAACCATAGGGTTATGGTTAAAGTTAGTAGAAAAGTTAGGTAACCATAGCGCTAACCCACATATGCTAGATCTCTTGGGCCACCATGATAAACTATATCTGCTCATATCCTATACAATTCAGTATTAAGTCATGTACCAAATCTGTGTGATGTTGTATACTGACATTTATTAGTGCTTGCCTCGTTTCTTTTACACAGCTGATCTCAGATGCAGGCTTTCAGGATGAGATCAAGAGTGTATCGACTGTTTGCCAGCAGATTGAAGTCTTTTCTAGAGTGCTGAAGACATCTGTCTGTAGCTTTCTGGAGAAGGGCGAGGAACACATGAAGGAACATCTCCCAGAGTTCACGGTGTGAATAGAATAAGAGCATAATGCTAAACAGATGTGCGGCTCACGAAAAACTCCTAATATAGTTTATATACTAAAGCAAAAATTGTATGTATAGTATTTGCTGCTGAAGGACACAAAAGAAGCGAGTGTTTCTAATCAAAGTGTTGAGGAAAGTTACAGTTGTAGAACCTTAGCCAACAATGCATTTCCCCAAGTTAAATTGTGTATATATTATAGAACCGTAATTAGTGAATGTACCAGTTGACCATGGAGTTTAGCAAAATTGTGAGGAGAAAATATCTATGACTCAAATTATTATTTAAATTTTACAATTACATAAAACATGACTAGTATGTTTTACATGCAGTGGTCAAACCAAGTTTTCCCATCGTAATGCGATCACTTTTCTCTCACAGAACATGGTTTGCCACGGGGAGCATACATACCTTTACACGCAGGCTCTGCTTAGTATTCTTGCACAGGAGAGTAAAGGTGGATCTCACTTGAAACGTCTCTGCCAGGAAATCAACAAGTGTGCTACTGAGAAGTATGTAAACAATAACACCGATTATAAAATCTTGTCTTTTTCTTTACCTCAGAAGAAGCATTTATGGAGCATGTATTAAGATGACGAAATTATAATTTCGTTCATTCAGCTATAACATATAACTTTACTATTTCATGCTGTACAATCCGTTGAGAATGTGATAGAGTAAGCAATATGTGTGGTGTTCACTGTGTGACTTGCCTGCAGGGGCCATGACGTTACGCCGGTCACTCTCGCTCTCAGTGGCTCGGCATCCTATCCTCGGGCATGTGGGGCCCTGTCTGCGATGCTGTCTAAAAATGCTCTCAATCCCGCTGATGTCACAGTGGTGAGTAACGATCTTATTTGTTATTGCTAATTTATTGATTAAAACTTTTGGCTATCGAGCAGAATCACAGGTAGTTGTTCAGGTAGTGTGAATGACTGTGAAAATGCAAAGAGCTTGTGTTATGTTAACTGATATTCACTGCCGGTGTATGTTCAGGCACTTCAGATTGAAGCTTACATTAACTTATATAAATTTATTTACATGCAAATAGAGTTCTGACAGATGTAGTCATCAGTTTATGTCAATTCTAGTTTATGAGGTTATGGGGCAATTACTGTAACCATGCCAGTGTATCAAATAATGGCACGAAATTAGCACCGGCCCACCGGCATATGCCGGCAAATTATTTGGAGGGCCAGTAATTTTGGCAAAACACCGGCCCCCACACAGGTGGTTTCAGCCATGTTAGCGAGTACCTACATTTTTAGCTCACATTGACATCGTGAAGATGAGCTATTGCCATGGGGTGTCCTCCATCGTACGTCCGTCCGTCCGTCAACATTTGGTTACGGTCAACGATAACTTGAGAACCGTTTGACCCACATGGTTAAAATTGCATACAGTTGTTACTCCTATGGGAGAGATGTGAACGTCCTATTTTGGAGCACGCCAGTTGACCTACTTTCGAGCCACGCCCACTTTTTGGCAAAAATGGAAATGGCCATAAGTCAGTCCACGTTCAACGGATTTTGCTCATTTTTGGTATGTGAATGAATAAGGACTGGCCCCAAAACATATCACAGGGGTTTTGATATTTCTTAAAAATTATGCAAATTAGGTAGATTTTGGCAGTTTCACAATGCATTTCACTGTCTGCCTACGGTCACCGATAACTCAAGAACCGTTTGACCCACATGTTTCAAATTGCATACAGTTGTTACTCATATGGGAAGGATTTGAACATCCTATTTTGGAGCACGCCAGTGGACCTACTTTCGAGCCACGCCGACTTTTGGCAAAAATGAAAATGGCCAGCTAGATTCATTCGATTTTGTTAAATTTACCTACCTACCTACCTAATCATACCTACGTATAATATTGTGTTTTAGATTCTTTGTTACAATAATTTGACTGGAATAGTTTATTGAGCACTTTTATTTGCGCGATAATCGAAAACCAAAATGGCGATCATTTAGGCGTAGCGCTATCTCATGCCCAGATTTCAGACTTTCAGATCTGAAACATATATTTTCGCATCAGAACTAACCTTGAAACAAAACAGTGAAATTTCTATTAGTATAAAACGGGGAGTAAGGACATTTGATTACATTTTGGTCTGTCATAAATGAAACACTTACCAAATTTTAAATATCATCTCCCTCTTCTATCACACCTAAGGTGAGCTATAGTGTCATTAACACTTTCATTAGTTATAGCATTAACGAGCAAATAGCCTACAATGCTGTTTTACCTGAAGGATATCACGCCATAATTTATCAACATCTTACACATTTGGAATCGAGAATGCAAGCGTAAAACATGACGATGGCATAAACACTTCGGACATCATTCACGATCTGTATTATAGTCTGTTCAACAGCTACTACGCGATGCTGCACACTACAACATTTTCCGGACAAGCAAGAGTCAGTGAAACAGACTACAGTCGTATCTTTGTGAATTTGTGAGGGCTGGTCAAAAACTGCTGTTACTAGCCCTCTGGGCCAGTGCAAAAAATCTTAATTTCATGGCCTGCAAATACTTGTAAAAATAGTTTACAATTAATTTTATAGTTCTGTTGCTGAGCTAGTGGTTCCAATGTATTTTATTATTGACCAAGTATGGTAATGATGATTTGCCTATATATCTTTTAGCTGTTCAAGATGTACAGTAGCAATGACCCACCACCTGTAGATCTTATCCGCACCCCTCAGCTTATTGGTAAGTTTCTCAATTATTTTGCAATTGGTGCTGCTTCGCTTTATTTGATTGCAAGGTCACCTTGAACTCTGCTATCCTGAGGGCACTTTGCATTCTGTTTATAAAGCAAGGTGTAATTGTGTTTGTTTTCTGTAAGTGCCAGACACCATGTTACACACTGTGTCATTTTTTAATTAATGGATTATTTACTATCTAGAAAGATATCACAAAGTTAAAATTTCCATGGGCAAATGAGTGAGGAATCTTCTATGGCGATTGAAATGGTGAGCTATGTTGATCCTTGGTTGTTATGTTATTGCAGAGTTGCTGACTGAGGCCTTATTCTGTCCAAACTCACGTGTTAATCCAGACCACAAATCCAAGTACATCTACTTGTTAGCATATAGTGCCAGCGTACATGAAACTCACAAAAAGGTCTGTCTCCTTATTTCGTTTCTGCATTTCTCAAAATATACATTGCTGGGCACCGATTCACACAATCTTCACGTAAATGTAAATATATATACATGCACACGTTGGTCGCATGAACAACATCTGAAGGAGAAGCAGTTAATAGTGTTCTCAGGAGAATCTTGATGAGGTTATTTAAATTGAGATTCTTAGGAGTCGGCACTGTTATATTATAAGATCTCTTGTAACCTTTTATCAGTCAGTGCAGTAAGGCTTCCCTACCGATGTAGACAGTAAGAAGGTTTTTCATCATCAAGTTTTTGCCTTCTAATGTAGGGAGTGCGAAAGTCGATCAACAGGGACGAGCTAAAGCAAACTTCGCAGGCGATAGAGAAAGTCAGTGGGATTATATTCGAGAACAAGAGTTGCAGCGACCTGATATGCGAAGTTGCAACACTGTACCAATGTATCAGGTTAGTACTAGCACTAGCTCAAGTCTTATTAATTTTACAGCACACATCTGTTTAATATGCCTTCATTATCAACCAGGTTCCTATTTATTAGTTACTTTGTGTACTAAAACGAGTGGTTATGCCCTGTTTCACCAGAGCATGTATTCCAAAGATTTCACATGGTTCCACTGGGTTCTTCTTGCAGCATTGCTAAGAATTACATACTTTCATGATGATCACTGTTATTGCCAGTTAAGTCTTCTCAGCCAGTGAATGTTACTCTGTATTTACGCAGGTTTCCTGTGGTAGGAATGGGAGTCATCCGGTGGGTGGAGCATGCGGTAAACGACCCTAGCTATTTCCAACACAACATTGACCACACGCCTTTACATATTGCCCTGCTGGATGAGGTAAATTTTGTATGAAGACCAGCTGCTATAATTATTAAGTCGGCTGCGAGAGTAGAGAGCGTTAGACCATTTTGTGTTTAATGTATTAGACTATTTTATTATTTATAGCTATTATTATGTAAGATTTTTAATATAACCGTAAATTGTATATATGTGTTTTATAAATGTATTTTATGTTTATTATATTAGAATAGCTTGTTATGTATGGCTGTTTATGAAACAACATAACACTGTCATGCTACAAACCTATTACAGGTGAGTACCTGCCATCCGATGTTGCATCCAAGAATTCTAGAGCTTCTAATATCCCTCTTTGAATCAGAATTCAAGGAACTAGATGTACTTGTACAGGTTAGTGCCTCTGCTAAACAGCATATGTAACCTCACTTGTTTTCTAGTCTGATTACATAGTATAACCTTTGTTATTGCTTATGATTAGTATTAAAGAATTGCTAATGTCATAACATACTATTATTACCCCCGCCAGGGGCGTGGCGGAGGTTATGTTTTCACCGGCGAATGTTTTAGTGTTGGTTTGTGTGTTTGTGAACATGCACGTTTCAGTTCACTTCCGCTAGGTGCGCTGGCTGTAGACTTACAAACACGCAAACACAGGCTAAGGGGCAACCACAGTCCTCCTCCACCTGCACGCTCGCACTAATCCGGATCCAATTAATTATTAAATTAATTAATTTTCCCACTTAATTAATTAATTAATTAATAAAAAAATCCACATTGAGAGAATTCAGCTGCCTTGGCGGAGGTCTGTGCTCTCCCCGAGTGCTCTAGTTGCTATTGTTATTGTAATTATTATATTTAAGTTTTCATTCTTTAGTGGTTGTTGAATATGATTCTTTATATTTACTTCTCTATGTGTGTGGATTAATTAAAATAAAAACAATGTATAATATTGCTTGCATGTGTGCGTGCGTGCATGCATGCCTGTGTGCAAATATCTGCAATGTCCATTAATTGAAAATTCCATTCTTGTAGTTGGAGCTGAAAAAGGTCATTCTAGACCGCACGGTGCACCTTTTGAGTCGTGGCTTTGTCATACCTGTAATCAACTATCTGAAGCAGTGTTGGGAGGTGAAAGACACTGACGTCTCTCTCATTCGTCACTTTGTGTCTGAGGTGAGTGCAGCTCTGGGCAAATTGCTTTTCTTGGAAATGGAGATAATACTTACAGGCACCTTCACTGAAGCATATGTATCGACTAATTTATCCTAGTGTGAACATATCATAAGTCATAGATTAACTTATTTAAAAAAATTCAATTTCACCTACGTTCTGTAGTAATAGCAGTATGCATCTAGTGCAGGGGTAGAAATTAACTTTTGAACCTGGGAGTCCAGCGGACTCCGTCCGCAGCAAAATGAGGGAGTCCGCAGTCTGAGGTTTAAAATTAAAGATATTAACAATAACGCATGTGCTTATTTTTAAGATTCATGCAGTTGCACGTCTGCCAAATTTTCTTTGGACATTAGCTGAAAAAATACGGTAATTCCGCGAGGCCGTGCTCCGGAACGAACTAGTTTGTATGGCAGAATTTTCAGGGAGCCGCACGGACTCCTGCATATGTCAAATCAGGGAGTCTGACAGTAAATCAGGGAGTATTTGACTCCGGACTCCTGTTAATTTCGCACCCTGTAGTGTATTGTCAGGATGTATGTGCATGATGCTCAGGTAATCTTAATAATAGGTTACCAATTAACAATTATGTTCTATTGTAATTCTACTTCAGTGTTTTCAGTACAGAAATATAAGGCGCATTCAGACGGCCGTTTTTGGCCTGAGCCTAATGAGGCTCACGCCAAATTTGGCTCGAGCTGAGCGTTCACACGGACGGTTTTTCGGGGCCGTGCCGAGTTAGCACGAGCCAATTTGGTCTCATCGAAAACGTCTGACCAGGCCCGAGCCAAATTTTAGCACCAGCTAAATTGGTAGAGCGGTAGAGCGGTAGATGCCGCGAGTGTCGAACGTGTACTTCAACGAAATAAAGTCCAAAACAGTATAAAAAATTCGAAAAATTTGATCAGGATGCATGTTTTCAAGATTGATAATTGAACTCGGAACAGATGTAAACACTGAATCGTACATAACGCCATCTCGCGACATACTGCCAAAGTATGAACTGCCAAGTATTTGAATTTGACAGACAGTATATTCACTTGCGTACGTGTGAACGCTCCGACTCAAACCGGCCCGAGCCAAATTTTGTCCATTTAGCTCGAGCCAAACCATTACCGTGTGAATGCGGTAATAGAAACTGGAGTCGGTTGGAGTCTGTGCACAATGTGATAGCATACATTGTATGACTATCAGAAGTTGTAAGTCATAATGTATGATTAACTTCCCTATTAATCTAGTCACCTGTGGTATTGTGCTTTTGCAGGTGCTCGATGTAATAGCCCCGCCCTTCACCTTGGAGTTTGTTCAGCTTTTCCTTCCTCTCATCGAGAATGAAAACATCACCGGCTCTATACGTACAGAAAATGAGCATGATCCTGTATCAGAGTTTATTGGTGAGTGTCGGCGAATGTGATGCTGTAACTATGGGGATGAGAGAGCTACGAAATCCTGTATTATGTGCTTATGTTGTGACTTTCCGGTTGTATTTAAATTGAGTGTAAAGTATACACACAAAATACTCTATAATCTATTCTCTTTCTATGCTATACTATATTATACTATATACTCTACTCTCTATATATATTATACTATACTGTATACTCTATTGTATATATGCATAATACTATATGCCATACTCTACCCTCTATGCTAAACTCTTAGTGAAAAGCAGTTTATATAAGATATTTTTCAATAGATTTGCTGCTTCACATCTAGAATGTGTACATCTGTAAATCATTCGATTTCATTTCAAACCTTCGTAATGGAGTTATTTTTGATAAATTGTTCTCTATATGGATGTTAAATTTATGTTCACCGGGATGTAATATTTCTATTGCAGCTCATTGTCGGCAGACCTTCGATGACCTCTGACACTACCATGAGGAACTCTAAGAAAATGGTAGTTTGGCCACAGCTCACATACGTGGTTCTACGTCTATCAATACTCCTATATTTGATATCTCATTAGTTATGTTGGAGAATTTATGCTAAACCATACTATTTAACAAGGCAACTGTCTTGCTTTGGATATTCAGCCAGTTTAAGTGTCATGTTTTGAGTAACGATTTGTGTGCTGTTTAAAGCAATGTAATAACGGTTTTGTGAACATGCCAAAAACTTCAATACAATGATCACCGTACTTCACTCTCTGGAAATATGAGAGAATAATTGTCATTTAATAGCAGGATCATTCTAATGTAATGTCAGAAACCATGTATTGTCTAGCGTGTTGTCATAATATTTTCATGTTATATTTTGTGTTTAGAGAAATACCAGAATGGAATTCTTGTAATCATTGATTTAAATGCCCAATCATTTGTATATATATTGTCATTAAATATGCATATATCGATTAAAATGAACAAATCATTATGTAAATTCTAATGAAATATTGGGGTTTTTTATTACGTTTTTGTTCTGCATTGGAATAAATGACATAATTAAGACAACATTATAATGGAGTTTGTGTTACCCAGCAATATTGTGTGATATTAGAAACGTTACTCCTATATTATTATAGAGCAAGTTTGTTACACCCAGATGCACTGCCTTGTCACTACAACATCCTTTGTAAGGGACACTGGCAAGTATAAGAACCATACATAAAATTGCATGGTGGTGGCATCCATAGAACTAAAAATAGATTTCTAGTTCTATGGTGGCACCCCATGAACAGTGAACCATTGAACCTGTGTGAACCAAGGTGAGTTTACGCAGAGAACAGAACATATCTTGCTCTCAGAGTTTACTGATTTTACTTGTGGCATACTGCTGAACTATTGTTATATTACTTGGTATTTCCCAACAAACCTTATTTGTACATATTCCCTGTTCCTATTAAATCATAAATTCTCCGATAGGTGGCGTTGTTGCACAACAAACTGCGGCAAGGTTCGAGTTGTTTCATTTCGCTGCAAATCACGGAATGTAATTTAATTTAAGTAAAAAAGTTATACTTGTCGTAATATCACATATGTCTCTGTGGTTTTGAGTACCTTTTGTTAGCGTTTGAAGGTTTGTAAGATTTAGCGTTTATTGAGTCGTGCACCCGCGTCGGCAAACACTGAAACTGAAGTAAACCTGCACGACTCCCTATGAATATGATATCAGGGCCCAAGGATATCACTAATACTAATAGTAATAGTAATACACTATCACTCAGTATCACTCAGTATCAGTATCGCTCATAGCACAGGCCCTTGGAGGCTCAAGTTTCAAGAAGAGTATAAGAGCGAAGCCGCTTCGCTCTTATAAGTTATACTCTTCTTGAAACTTGAGTCTCCAAGGGCCTGTGCTCATAGGGTCTATCATCTATGTCCTCCAGGCAGGCCTCGAATTAAATTAATAAGCGACGAGAGGGGCAGGGCAATTTTTTGGGGGCATGTGAGAAATTGCCTTGAATTTTCTCTAAAGTGGATGGCAGGATGAGCACCGAGGCAATTTTAAAAGGCAGTGGCTGGAGGTACGCCAGGCGTATCTTAATGTCTCGAGGCTACGGGTACGCCAGTCCATTCGCTTTCATACTTAACGAGACAAAGATGGCGGCGGTCGCGCCAGATTTCGAAATAACGCCTTGGGAAATAAATTCACGATTTGAGAGTTTAGATGAGCAAGAACCCTAACCCTAACCCTAAACCTAACCCTAACCATAACCCTAAACCTAACCCTAACCCTAATCCTAAAAAAGGGGCTTGAACGACCGACGGCTGGCGTACCTCCAGCCACTGCGATTTTAAAAGGCATCAAGGCAACTCACAATTTGAGAAGGGCACCAAGGCACTTTTGTAAAATAAAGGAAAACTCATAGTCATAACAAATTAATACATCAACATCGTCTTGCTTTTAATGTACAAAATAGTAGGCCCAGTTTAACATAATTTACTGCACTTAGCAAGCTACACACCGTACAGATCACAGCTGGCCATTCTTGTGCGAGCGTCGTTTCCCGCGCTTTAAATCGCGCGCGGGCCGAGTCCACGTGTAATATTTAAATATTCGTGTTTTACCACGGGCATACACAGGCGCACGTTTTATCGATCGTCCACTGGCAGCGGTTGGCAGCAAGCCACGTTATTGTTTTTGCCAAAGGGTAGACTGGTATCCGGCCTCACGCTCTGCTAGATAATGTACACGCTCTGCGACAAACAGTGCGGCCGCGAACCAGTCTAGCCAGAGGCACCGACGGCAATTACAGAAAAGGGCAAGGCAGGTCACTGCCGTCGGTCGGGTTGGATTTTCAGGGGCAGTACGGCGATTGATATAGGGTTAATTCGAGCCCTGCCCCCAGGGTACTGCCGGAACGTATGCTGGGTACGGTCCGGTATACCGGAGCGTACCCTGGTAACTAATCTGATAGGGTTAGGGAGTAGGCGTAGGCGACTCCCTAGACTCGTTAGTGGAGTAGGCGCGGGGTACGGTCCGGCATATTAGATAGTACCAGGGTACATTCTGGCAGTACCCTGGGGGACATAGACCCTCTCAGCATCAGTATCAGTATCAGACTCGGTCGACGGTCACAGCCACACAGGCATTTGGAACTTTCAATAATAAAATGGTGGTAAATAAACACGAAATGTATTTACTAATAAAGTCTTAAAGCCGCAATATGCGCATCCAAACGCTAATTTCTCCATAACTAGACTAGCAAATACTTTGTGTCATGCATAATCATACTACCATATGACAAAATAAACTCTAGTTCTTCCCATTTCACTGCACGTTGTCTTATAAAAGGTATTTTAAAATACCTCCAATGTTGTTCAAATTCTTCGATGTTGTTGACACGTTTGCGTTGCTCTGCCAAGCAACCGTACAGCGGGTGCAACCTGTAGCAACATGTGACGTCACCTAACCGATTCGGGGCTAAATTGTTTGGCAAACAATTCGGCGTTGGCGCCAGATTGCCAGATTTTGCACCTCTTTCTTGTGGGTTTTAAGCAAACGCGCAGTGAAATGGGAGGAACTAAAGTTTATTTTGTCATAAGGTATGCATGACACAAAGTATTTGCTAGTCTAGTACTGGAGAAATTAGCGTTTGGATGCGCATATTGCAGCTTTAATGGTTCTCTACTCCATTTCGCCTATTATTACCGATAATTTCCTGTAAAAACCACCCCGGCCAGATCAGTGAATTTTCTCAAGGTGTAAAAACCTGGCTCTCAACATTGGAGACTGTGAATCTCCCGTGGCTCGGATGACCACGTAAAATGGCGGTCCCGTCTCCAGTAATACTGAGGTCAATGGGGACGTAAAAGAACCGCTGAGGGCGCAAAAAAAAACTCTGGCTGTGACCACCCTCAGGGTCTTTCGGCTAAAAGGCTAAACTACCTGGCTTTACCCAAGCTAGGTCACACACCGCATGGCTAGCTATAGCCCGTTGCCTCGATGCCAAATTTGGATACTACAACGTACTGAAACAGAAACAGAAAATGCAGTTCAAATGCTCTTCTGCAACACACTAGTAGGTACTGACACTACTGAAGTGAAGTAGTGAAGTACACCACACGGACTCCGCTGTGCGCATCCATTGAAACAACCCAAACAACAAACTTATTATTATTATCAGGAGTGAATAATAATATATTATTATTATTCACTCCTGATATTATTAAAATATTAACTCTATAATTTCGTTGTTTGTGCACAGCGGCGCACGCGTGCGGTGTACCTGTGTGTTGTAGAGGAGCATTTGAATGGCAATCTAAGGAAATTATCGCTAATAATACTGCGAAAGATAGTACAGTCAGAGAAACAAGACGTTGGAGTTTGGTAGTAAATACATTTCGTGTTTGTTTACCACCATTTTATTATTGAAACGTTCCAAGTGCCTGTGCAGTGTGCACCCAATATCCAGGTTTACATACTTCACATTTATTATTTTATCTGCCATAGAAATAATTCATACTAGGCAATTCTAGTCGTTATATCCTCTCTGGTCTCTCTATGTATTTCCTACAGTTCACCATGCTCATCAGTGAGTGTACTATAATTCCAATAACGCAATCCAGGCGGTAGCAGGTTAACAAGCTAAGTTTGGTGTAGTACCGTAGTAAGGCTGAAGAACTTTATTAGGCCATGAGAATGGAAGTTTTAGATTTGCGTCCACCGCCTGCATGCTCCAAAACCTCCAGCCGAAAAAGTTCATTATTGAAAAAAAAAAATCATTATTTACATAAAAAAAAGCTCTCCATCACAAAAATTCAAGTTCCAAATCATCAAACAGCGATAAAAGGCTAGAATTATGCATAATACATACTAGTATGCGCATGCAGTTACCGTCAACAAGCTTCAATCTTGGAGTGATCAAAATCTCTCTCGTTCGTTCAGCTCACTAGAAGTAAATAATGAATAATGAAAAAAAATCCTCATGCCATTTGAAAAATGTTCGGACGCAAATCTAAAACTTTTATTCTCATGGCCTTAGTCTAATTATAAGTGGTCATTAGTCACATCTAACATCACTGATAGTGAGAGAGCATGATAATGCAAATGGTAGCGCAAATTTGCCACTGGTGTAAAAGTAGCCACATGTACTGTTGTTACACACAATTTTAACATTTTACTTTTAGAATTGGCTGTCGTACTTTTAGAAACCGTTGCAGGGCGAAGCTTGGTTTTACCAATTTACCCCACTGCTCTGCCACAGGCAAACGTGAGGCCTATGCTGAGGCTAGTAGCAGACACAAGTTGTCGCAATTAAAGCATTTCTCTGTCCACCACTCGCGTCTCTATACTCGAAACGAATTCCCACACGGTATTGAAGTCGTGATCTGGACATCCGAATGAAACGACCTTATTTCCTCTTTCGTCCGCGCTCAGACGACGATGGGCAAGCACTCCGACTCGGACGTCGAGTATCGCAGGCGAAAAAGCCGCAAGAGCACGAAGAAGCGCAGGAGCCGATCGCGGTCGGCGAGCTCGAACGGCGACGACGCGGCGGCGCGCGGCAAGTCGAGCCGCGGCAAGCGCAGGTCGCGCCGGCGGTCGCGCAGCCGCAGCGCCGAGCGCTCGAGCAAGTCCAAGCGCAGGTCAAGCTCGAGCTCGCGAAGGTCGCGCGACCAACGGTCGAGGTCGTCGGAGCGGCGGTCAAGGTCGCACGACCGGCGGTCGAGGATGCGAGAGAGGAGGTCAAGGTCACGAGATCGACGATCGAGGTCGCGCGACCGGAGGTCACGGTCCCGAGAGCAGAGATCGAGGTCGTATGACAGGAGGTCGAGGTCTCGTGACCAGAGGTCGAGGTCCCGAGATCGAAGGTGGTTATCACAATGCTGAAGGAATAGGTGGATCAAAATGTTGTAGACTGCATGTGCACATTCACTGTTTCTACAACATATTGCTGGAAATTTCCTGACAAATATCAGATAGTGCCACAAAATCACGTTCGGTATATTTGAGATTAATGATTGTGTTGGCTGATCGGTGTAATTTTAAACTACCGTTGATTGTTATATGTAGAATACTGTAATATTTAATTATACTACATATTTATAGATCTCGAAGCAAAGAGAGACAGCGAAAAAATGTAGAAACAAAAAGTTCACATCGCGATGCCAGGAGTAGAAGCAGTAGTCCTGAGGATAAGGATTTGAATGAGGATAACGTAACAATGTCCAGGTTGGTACAAGCTATTGATTCCATATACTTAAACTGCTAGAACTAGTGATGCAACTTTTGCTAGTACAATACTATTGACTGGATCTATTATTATTGTTGATATTACAGAATTATTTTCTTGCATTATTTTGCAATTCGATAAAATTGATTGTTGAAAATTCAAGAATACTCATATAAATTTAGTATTTTTTCACTCTGTTTAGTTTAGTAATAGTGAATTTTGTTATTTAAATTTTATCTAGAGATCCTGCCTCAGAAATCTCAGGATTTGATGAGATGGTATGTATTTTAAACATGCAAGATTTCAGTAAATTTATCTCGTTCTATCAAACATGTAACAATGATGGCTTTGCAAGCATGTTGATTGATGAGTCAATGATGACTAGCAAACACTTCATTTACAAAAGATGAGTCTCTACTATGGTAATGTTTTTCAACATTTATATATTTTAATGAGTGAAACTTGTCATTCTCTTTACTGTCTCTATATTGTCTTTCATGATGATTGACTCATGGCTGTATATATCATTTCCTTTTAATTTAGACACGTGCTGAACAGAATAAAGTAAGAATGAAGCTGGCACTGCAGGCTGCAGGTAAGTGTAATATATATAAATATATATATAATTTATGGTAATGTCCATTCAGCCTCTTTTAAACCTGAATACAAGGACCTACAACAATTCAAGAATTTCCCCACTATTTTAGGCAATAAATTCAAACCTTGGTATTTTTACCACATGCATTGCACTGTACTATCATTATCTAGTCTTGTTCTAAAATTTTACTGTGATGGTGTGCTTTTGCAGTTGCCGCTGATGAAGCATTGAAAGGACGAATAGGGCCGCAGCCTTTGTCAGCAGAAGAGCAAATGAAGAGGCAAATGTCTATAGACGATATAAACAAATCTGATTTCACTCCTTCCACTTTTAAGTCGACTCGCTCTGACCAGGTGGGTTTACCTCATAGGATATGAGGAAGGTAGACACGATTCAAAGTGTGTGTGGTTGTGTGATTATCCTGCGTGCATGCATGTGGACGCGCATGGGCGTGTACGTAAATGCGTGCGTGCGTGCGTGCGTCACGCATGTGTGCGTGCGATTTAGTATGGGTAACTTAACATTGTGATGATGACCTTCCTCTATAAGCTAAGAGGGACGCATAAAATGCAGGGCTATGAGGTCGATATGGACAGGAAAATGAATATTTTATGTGTTAATTTAGGTTGTAAACTGAATAACATTAAATTGACTACGTCACGAATTTTCCATGGTAAAATTTGTAAAAAAAAAGGTCATTTTTTTACATTAAAAGTAAGAACTAACGATACTAAATATATCCTCAAACTCTCACCTGATAAAAATGTTTTTACGTTGGTTAAATTTGCAAAAATCTAGACGATTTGGTAATTTCTGTACCCCCCACTATTCCCCCAGTACTGTTCAGATACTGGCGTCTCTCTGTTTTTTACCGGCAAATTATGGCATATAAAGAAGGTATATAAGCATGAAAAGTAAACAGAAACACTAATTATATTTTCATACATTTTATTTTGTACAAATAACTCACAAATATACTACTTCATGGTGCTAGAAATTCGTGACGTAATCACTTTAAGCAGTTATTTTAAAGGTGAAAATGTGGCTTCGTAATGGTTGCTGTTACCTCATGTTCAAGCTGCTTTGCTCCTAGCCCCTAAACTCTTTATTACAAGTGACAATTTGTTATGGAATCTGAAGAACCACCAAGCAAAGCATCATTTTCTGAAAGAACACCCTGTGACTGCTTGACTCCTACACCTCACATTGATGATAATTTATAATACTTGATTTCAGAAGGTACAACCGACATCAATGGCTGGGCTTACAGGATCTAACAGTATGTCATCAGAGCATAGCCATGACAAGGCCATGTATGGATTAGGCTCATCCCAGTCTGTCATACAACCTCTGGCATCCACTTTGAGTAGTAACAAGATTGTTTACCAGGACACTGATAACATAGCCCATGAAAGCGTAAGTAATACATGAGTCTTTGAGCGTGATCGATCATAAGGGTTGCATATATTATTAGAATAATATAAAGAATCTACTTGGTCTATTCAGTTCAGTCAAGAACACTGTTATCTGTGTATAATTTTATGTTTTGTTTACATGTGTGTTCAGCTACATTGTCCACTAATTTTTAATATAATGCATGCATACGTTTATATATGTGTACTATCACTTGAAAATAAACTGAAAGAGGTTTGTTGTGGTATTTTAGTTGTATTCTAATATGGAGGAGAGAGAAGCTAGATGGCGCCAGCGATTGCTCCAGCTACGGCAACTGAAATTGAACGGGGTCATGCTGACTTGAATGCTACATGCAAACCTGTGGTATTGTTACGTGTGAATTTCTTGTTACTATAATTAATGATGTAAAACTGCATTAGAGAGAGCACTGTATATCTTCATTGACGTGATATTTATTTGAGATGAACGTTTGCTCTGCAATGCTTGTGTTTAGAGTGGCAAGGCGGGATTTGTAAAGAATATATACGTACTTACAAAGATTTCCAATCAGGAACGACCATAGGTAGAAGAGCTGGTACTGAAACAAAGCAAACTACAGTTATTTTATTTGAAAATCTCTTTCTTTCTGTTTGTCGCGTATTTGCTCTGTTTCACGAGGAAACTGATGGCCTTGGGAATCTTGTAATCTATATTGTGTAATGTGTAGTATAAGTGTTGTAGGTGGTGTTACGAGTATATGTTTTGATGATATAACAACAGAAGAAATTTGATAATGAAAGCATTTTAGGATCGTGTGATTGAAGTTCTGTTATGTTGTTATCATCATGGAATATATTTGGAGAATTCTCACATATAAACTTGTGGTTCATCTTTATCTTCCATCGGATCATTCATTGTCTGAGCTCTTGTGCATGAATAGGCTCACTTTTCCCATCCACACACTACAAACATGCCAGAAATATTCCTAATTCGATTTGAGTCAGATAATTTGCTAACTTCTCACTTCTGCACTCCTTTTGGCAAGAATTCTGTAACAGTGTTGATCAGAAAACTAGTAAACTGGTAACAGTTATGGCCAGGAATTTGACATATTAATTTGTTATTTGATTAGCACGTTAAGAACAGAGAAACGGGCGACATACAACATTAATTGTAAAATGAGAAACACCAAATTGGCAATTTCTCACCTGTGCCCTCAAATAACATACAATTTCTGTAGTATAATGTGTCACTTGTAACCTTGGTAATTTGACTACGTGATAATGCAATCTGGTAATGCATGCCGAGAAATTGGGTTTAGTGTTACAACTAGTTTATGAGGTTGCTGGCAAAGCAAAAACAATGACGTGAATCACCCAGCTTTTCCAAACATTGTATTTTCACTTGGCATTTTTACTATGTGTGTGTGTGCGCGCGCGTGTGTGCGTGCGTGCGTGCGTGTGTGCGTGTGTGTGTGCGTGCGTGCGTGCGCGTGTGTGTGTGTAGATGTTTTGTGCCCCTCTTATAATTTTTAACACGAGAAAGTAATCGTTTTGAACAGATACCAGACTTCGTCCACGTAGATAGGTGCACCTTGTTGTTGGAATGTTTCTGCTCCTGTACGTCTCGTACACAATTTATTACCACTTTCATTTGCACAAAAAAACGCTCTTTTTGCTCTCTTTACTTTTTTGAAGCACACGAAATGAGGATCACGATGGTAAATTGCCTCTCGTTCTGCCGCTGCAATTCCATGTAGGTTATCTCTGTGACCTTATCTATTAACACTATGTCTCACACTTACAACCTTGCTTGAGCGATTCTGTCAAAGAAGTGATCACAGTTGGGTGCATTAGAGAGCGCAGACTCACGTGTAGGCGTTCAATCTAGCCTCTGTTCGGTGTCCGACACGCTGAAGATTATTGTATAGATGATGTCATTGTCAACCGCATTTGACGAAAGTCTATACATCCATGTGTAATCATGTCTATTTTTGTCGTCGGCGTCGTCTTCGCTGCAGCAACATCATTATCAACATCATAATCACCAGCTATCACCAACAGCAGCAGAAGTAGCAGCAACAGCAGCAGCACCAGCACCAGCACCAGCAGCACCACCACCAGCAGCAGCAGCAGCAGCAGCAGCAGAATCAGTAGGCGTAATCTGTGGCAGCAATAGGGCCTACTGTAGCAGAGTAGGTGCAGAGCTGCAGTCGCAGTAAGATGCATGAGTGCTGTACGTCGCTCTGAATTTGCTCACGCTCAGAATATATTACAATGCTCTAAAAGCATCTTGAGTTATGAAAACACCTCGGTTGTCATCCATGGATCATGTAAAATCCAATCATCTGGCATCACGTGGGTGGGTGTAGTTGGCGTAATGTGATATCAGGCTATAAAACCAATCCATGCTAAAGTATTCGGATGTTCAGTAGCGCTGAAGGGGTCGTTGTCGTATCAGGTACTACAGATATGTACCCGAGGTACATATATGTATACACAAAGTGTACCAGACTTGTACTACAGAAGTGTAACCTAACCCTAACCCTAACACTAGCCCTAACCCTAACCCTAACCCTAAACATACCTTATATAAAAATATAAACATAATACTAAACAACCTAAAACTACCTCGGGTACATATCTGTAGTACCTGATACGACAACGACCCCATCTGCTTCAGTAGCTCAGTAGTGGTTTCAACAGATGTACCTGCGATGCGTCTGCTTGTACATTTGAAGGACGTGACTCGAAAGCCCCACACCTACAGATGCGGTCATTGTGCTTGATGACTGGTATAAGACGTCCCTGGATGCAGTAAAGTGATCTGAATTCGTACGTTACTGTCACCGATCTAAATTCATTTCCCTCGCTGTTCTCGGTTTATAAACACCCAAAAACAACCTCGAAGTTCGAGTTAGATCTCGACACGTGCTGGATACCACGTGATCACGCGAACTCAATTCGCTGACTGGCTATATTTCGTGTCAACAATGTCAACTCGTCGCTCAACTCCCGGATCCACTGGCTATGTGAGAATACGCTCAGAGTTCGAACACGTGTTCACTACCCGGCTGACACGTCTGCACGCACACTCAACGATAGCTCCAAGTAACAATCCAACACCTGGTGGTCAGCTGACCGGAAAATGGCTTCTTTGACGCTGCACTGCCGATAGAGCGCCAGTGTGCATTGTACTGCGGAACATCGGACCCCTTGAGAACAAGAAGACCTAATTTGACCAATACGTGATTTAAAATAATTTCAATACTCAATTTAGAGCGTTTAGGCACCCGTGACTCATGTAGCATCTCTTCCTGTATTCCGCATTCCGCTCACGTGTAACGAATGTTCGCTGCATGGTATATACTGGCCGCCTGTCATTGCAATGCCAACGCCGACGCTAGACGATATGCTTGAGCCTGTATACATCATATCCAATAGAAATAAACAGGACATTTTCGTTAGGACGTTAACGTCAAATTTTACTTATTTCATACCTTCTGATTCTGACCTTATCTTTAGGTTCAACCTCTTAGTTTATGATCCATGCGCCCTGGTCATCAAGGGGTGAGCTATCGTTTCTTGCAGTGCGCCTATTGGATGATTTATTGCAGTGCTTTCATTGGCTGATAAAAAAAAGTATTAATTAATGAGAAAACAAAATTAGCTTGATTGTTTCATGGAAATCTAAATCCACGTTGAGCTGGTGCGGCCCCTGAGAACTCGAATACCTAATTTTCTGGCAGTCGGGTAAAGGCAATTTCGTTGATAAGCAGTAAACCCGAATATTAAATTTTTAGGAGCCATGTCAACATAGATGTGTAAACTAGGCCCACATTGTGCCTTTTGCCGTTGTTTAGCTAGTTTAATAGTGGGAACTGGTGGATAATGATCAAATTATAGTACTTAATGTTCTCACATGCCATGTAATACTGTATAATCTGTATATTTTGCGGTGGTTTAATTTTCGCGAATTTCGCGAACGCGTCCCCGACCGCGAAAATAACAACACGCGAATAACTCATACCGATTAATTTCCGAATAATTCATAATTCACCGACCGCGAAATTAACCACTCGCGAAATGGTCCGTCAAGTCTAAATTCGCGAAAATATCTGTACGCGAAAAATATGGCGTATACAGTAAACGCGGTTCCTCGTACCACGCAACGCAATAAGTAGGAAATCAGCAGTTTGCTAGAATACTTGTACTTTTTTATTTTCACTAAAACATTTCATACAGTTTCATGTTTACATTATCATGATTTGTGCATTTTAAACAAAATCCTATACGTGAGCCTTTCAGTTCTTGTGTGTGTGTATGCGTATGTTTACAAATAGTCAACAGTGGTATTTACAGCAATTGACTAGCTGACGCCGTGTGAGCAGGCCAACATCTGAGCTGCCGTCTCTATACGTACCACTAATATAACCAGATGAGCTTCTTGTGCCCAGCGGGGACAGCGCTTAACACGAACAATCTTGGTTCGGATTCATTTCATTCGATTAAAAACTGGAATTCGAAATAATTACTAATGTTAATATAGGTATCCTAATAAACTATATAGACAGACCAATTCCCCATCCCACCCTTGAAGAGGAAAGACAACACTGGTCGTATTTCCTAGAGCCTTTTCATACATAACAATTTAACAAACAGCTCTCATGCTACCGTCGCTATCACGGCGGCAGTTACAACTGCGACATAGAAACCTCTTATGTTAGCCCGCTACACCGTGCGAGAAATGAGCTTGCGTGGCGGTGGACACTTGCCAGTAAATTCTCTTCGTGGCTTCCAAGAGCCAGTGGCAGTCGTTAACGTTATATTAAACAATAATAACGATAATAATATTAACTACTACCTGAACAGTATTAAATCTACACCAGCTAAAGCTGCTCGTTACAGATGACACGTCATCATATAATATATTAATAACAACTAATTAACATTAAAAATTAAAATTTACAAATAACAACAGTAATGTCTAGGACATCGATTTATCTGCTACATTGCGCTGCCAATAAGCTGGCACAAATTAAAGACACAACGATCACAAGATCATTTCATATCTGTTTGGCCACGTTCATCTACCATACATGTTAACATCTCAGAAACGGCGCATTTGTTCCAGTCTTTGATACTAAACAATTACTATACGTGTCATAATATAACGTTATTCCCCTATTCTGCAATAACACGTGTTTCACGGTAGCGGCATCGTGTTCCTAACATGCCTAATACCTAAGAGATATATAGCGATTCTCTGTGAGAATATCCTATAGATGCGGCCTCACGCTTAGACTGGCCCGAACGCATTCAATTCACGCCATGAAAACGTATTGCTCGTACTTGTTGGCACGAGGCGAAAACGATGAACAAGTCTACCGTTTGCTGCCCTTACCCTTGCGCACGCTATGCTAGACGGAGAGACAAGTGATTTTCAAGGGTAAATCTAGGATACACATATCGCACATAATGTACTCGAACCCTATTCGTAATAGTTATACAAATAGTTACAACCCTACCCAACCTAATTTGTTAGAGCCTTGACGTTAACTGTCTCGTGTTGCTCACTTGATTAACATAATGGTTAGAATAATAATAATGACAATAATAATAATAATAACAATAACAATAATTTGCTCCAATTTTGAGAATCGCGATACATTCGGTGTACGGGCAGCCATGACAGTTCGCTATCGCGGTGGCTCGTCCGTCAAATCAGTGCGTTCTTGACTGCTGTAGCCGCGCAGGCTACGGTCCCACATATCTGACGGATCATGAATAGTTATATGCCTATCATAAGTCTATGACTTTTGCACGACACTTCACTTTAGCGTTTATGACATTTCATTTTCACGCTATGCCATTTTAAACTTACGATGTCATAACTATTCAGTGATGTTTCTGACGACGGCCCGGGCCCTTCTCATCGTCATATCACCACCGGATCAATGGGATACGTATAGCTGGCTGGTCACAAACACATCACACTCTTCCCATCGCTGGTGAGCGACGCCAGCGCACGCGAATGATATAGACCAGGTGTGAATTGACTAGAACTAGTCCTACGTTTATCATAATTCCTACGCGAAAATAGTTGTGTATGAAAACTAGTGATTTTATTCCTCTATTCGTCTCGCACCCGCGCACGATTAGCACCTTCTACAAGCTTGTTACGAGTGAATGAATGTAAAATCGCGTGTATAGAACCGGTATGAAATTTTCTATTTACAATACTGCCCCTTCGCGGAGCAGGGCACACGCTCGCTACGCGTGTACACGAGTCTACTTACATTCCCGCAAGGTGTGTAGAAAAAGACCAACCAAAAAATAAGCATCTCGTTGAGTAAACACTACCAGTATAAAGCGTATTTAACTGTATATTTACACGACCGTTTCTTCGCACCTTTCCAACCTACTATATTATTGTGCTGTTTTACATTTTAGCGGCATATACAATTTCACAAAGTGTGCCCCCGCCTTGTTATAGACGTGAGCCATTCTAGATCATACATTTGGGGTAACATTTCACACGGCGTCGAGTTCTGCAATTTTGCCTGCCTGTATGAGTAAATGCTTCACGGTTAGGTAGCAAGGAGGGTAATTTTGCTAGAGGCAGAGTTTGTAGAAAGTAAGAGAGAGAGAGAGGGGGGTTGAGAGACAAGGTGAAGCTGGAGGAGACCGGAGGAAAATTGGAGAAGGGGTAATATATTTATTGGCAGGCGATAGGAGAATGCCCAGGCTAGAGAGAAGGTCGTTATTGCGTGCTATGCATTATATTACTGAGGTGACGGAAGTGAGAGCGTGGGCGTGAAATGGTGATAGAGCGCCGTGAAACGCGTAGGAGATGGCTGGTAGAGAAGGTAGTAACAATCTTCCCTCTAGTGACGCACTGTTCCCTCTAACTTCCAAGTTGATTCGGTATCACCATATCTCTCTCTCTCTCTCTCTCTCTCTCTCTCTCTCTCTCTCTCTCTCTCTCTCTCTCTCTCTCTCTCTCTCTCTCTCTCTCTCTCATTCTCTTCCTTTCTTTCTCTCTATCGCTTTCTCGCGTTCGCTCTTATTCTCTCGCTTTCTGCCAACCTCTTCTTGCATAAACAAGAGAACTTGCAAGTTACAGCAAAGAAACCGCGCTTCTTGTCGCTCACTGCAACCTGTCATCACAATTGTTATGTGCGATCATTTTATATTGCAAATCAGCAAAGTCGCTCCACAATGTAACATCATGAATATATGTATAAAACTGGATCTATCACCAGAGGGATATGTGCGCAATATGCATATTAGGCGTTCGAACTACGTGTCTCATTCTGACTCATAATTATTCACTCTCATCAGGTCATCCATAACATCTCGAAGCAACAGAGCCATTGAAAGTTTCTCGTAAAATATTTAGTGTGAATAGCAGTCGCTGTATCGCTGCATCTGGTGATGTGCACAATAAGCCAGTCTGTATTCGCGGCTATAAAGGCAGAAAACGTATGTGAAACGACACCTCACAAAACTGCAAACAATATCATGAGTAGATACCATTTACCACGGTTCACCTATAGTTGACCATGTGATTCCAATCAATTCGAGTTCGTCTTTTTTTTACTAATTGCTTTCGAAGGAATTCGATTCAACATTCCTGGATCTATTTTTCCTAAACGCCTACATGATCTACACATTGCGCTGCATGCACTGTACAACCTTTCCGGCAGTGTTTGGTGGTTACAGTTTAATAAAGGTGACGTTGTAACACTGCTACGCAGCTACCTGTGTATCGAGTCTCTCAAACTGCTAACTCGATACAATCACGCCCACCCATCGGTGTATAGTAAGTGGCCACAGGTAAAAAGGGAAAGCCGACAACACATTATTTACAGGTACACCCGCCGAAGAGTCTGTCCGTCCACCCGGCCCTCCATCCAGTCCATTCACACGCTTTCCCTCCCAGATTGCTTTGGCAACACGTTTACAATGTTTACATCCAACAAGTAAACATCCCTTCAGAACTGCATTCGGGGTCTGGAGTGGGCGCCTGGTCTCCAGCCACGAGAAGGTGCGGGAAGGAGGGTGTAGCACAGTACACACCACTCTATGGCAAAGACCCCCCTTCTCTACAGTACGCATACGCATGTCTGACAAAACGCATTGCGCATGGACACGGAAATCTAACATTTATTGCTCATGCGCAGTGTAGAGGGGGATGTTTGCCACAAGGGGGATGCATACCATGCGACAGGGAGGCGGGTTAGTGAAGGGGCTGGTCTCAGCACGAGCCCTTGCAGTGCAGCTCCTGTATTAGTGCGTACGACGTGAAGACGAGGTACAGGCCGACGAAAGAGAGACTGGTAAACTTCGTCAGCCTGTACTTCATCAGCATAAAGACCGCCTGCACGATGAAGAGAATCAGCAGCAGAATAAAGCCGAACTTGACGTGCGGCGGGATGAGCATCTGGCCCGTCGCCAACTTCTCCTGCAAAACAAGAGAACAACCAACGGTGAGCGATTTTTTTTTGGGGGGGGGGATATATCTCCTCGATTTTTCCATCGAAATTGCAGCTGCTGCTGACAGCCAATGTGCTATATATAGTAATAACTTCACACACGCGCACGCACGCACGCACGCACGCACGCACGTACGTACGCACGCACACACGCACGCACGCACGCACGTACGTACGCACGCACACACGCACGTCCCCCCCCCACACACACC